CTTTCTATGCCAGAGATTCAGACACAAACTCTCCCCACCTCACTTGCACCGGTGGAGCTCAAAGGATATTTCAACTTTTGAGCCGGGCAATTTGGCTTCCTTTGTGGCTCAAACACTACACTGTGTTTTGTACAGAGGAAGTATATTTGTGAGTGTTGCCAGGAAGAAGGATGGCCTTCCTAACAGAGAAGGCCTGGAAGGGGATAGGCAGGTCCCTGGGCCAGGTAAAAAGTGCCATTGATCAAAAAGGGCATTATGCTGTTTTTGCACTACGGAGAGCTCTTGAGTTAGTATTTTAAGAGACAAAGGAGATTAGATTCTGGCAAGCCTCCAAATTGGGAGGCAGCAGAGAAACCTTGGGCAGAAGCAAAGATTGCTATATCACTACCTCGAGATAAAAGAAAACAGCAGCTGTCAATCAGGAAAAGGGGAAGTCGGAGGGCAGAGCCTGGGTGCAGGAGGCCTAGGCCTTCCCAAGAGCCCTGCTGACCCTCAAACTCCCTTTCTCGAGGCAGGGCCTGGCAAGGGAGATCCTTTGAGGGGAATGGAAACCCAGGAGCAGGATTGTGGGTGTGCCACATCTCTGGGGCCTTCCCCGCTCCCAACCAGGTCCTTTCAATGCTGTTCCTGGCTGGCAAGTTCAGAAATCCCTCAGGACTGAGGTGGAAGAGGAAGCAGGCCGAGACCACAAGGTGGATGATGCCGTCGTATTCAGGCAGCTTTGCTAAGTTTTAACTACGATTAGAGTTTATTTTGACTGCCGGTGGCTCTCAACGTCTTATGCAAATCCTACCTGTTTAATTCACATAGGATTCAATCCAAGGTATATAATAAAAAAAGATAATAGATAATAAAAAAAGTTTCTTCCAACATATAAATAACAAGAAAAAAATCAAGGAAACAGTCGGTCCACTAAAGAGAGAAGACGGCAAGGAAGGAACAGGCAACGGATAGAAAGCAGAACTCCTTAACTCATTCTTTGCATCGGTCTTCATGCAAAACGGAACTATAGTTCAACCCACCAAAAGATAGACCAGAAATAAAAGTTAAAATAAGCAAAAAATAGTAAGAGAACACCTGTCTGATCTTGATGAACACAAATCACCAGAGCCTGATGGATTACATCTTAGAGTTTTAAAGGAGCTGGCAGAGGTCATCTCAGAACCACTGCACCATATCTTTCAAAAATCCTGGAGCACCGGGGAACTACCAGAGTACTGGAAAAGAGCTGATATGGTTCCCATCTTCAAAAAAGGGGAAAAAAACAGACCCAGGAAACTATAGACCAATCAGCCTAGCATCAATACCAGGGAAGATACTGGAAAAGATAATTAAAAAAACGGATCTGCCAACATCTAGAAACAAGAAAAGTAATAACTAGCAGTCAGCATGGGTTTGTTAAGAACAGATCATGCCAAACCAATCTTATTTCATTCTTCAACATAGTGACTAAATTACTAGAGCAGCAAAATACTGTGGACATAATATATTCAGATTTCAGCAAGGCATTCGACAAAGTAGACCACAACCTACTTCTTAGTAAACTAGAAAAAAATGGAATAGATAGCACCACCACTAGATGGATTCGCAACTGGCTGGCAAACCGTACTCAAGGAGTAGTCCTTAATGGGTCTAAGTCGACATGGAGGGAAGTAAGCAGTGGGGTGCCACAAGGTTCAGTCTTAGGCCCAGGACTCTTCAATATTTTCATTAATGACTTAGATGAGGGAATAGAAGGGGAACTTGCCAAATTTGCAGATGATACTAAGCTGCAGGAACGGCTAACACCCAAGAAGATAGGCTCAAGATCCAGATGGATCTTGACAGACTGGAACACTGGGCCATATCTAACAAAATGAAATTCAATGTAGAGAAAAGTAAAGTCCTGCACTTAGGCAAGAAAAGCCAAAAGTACACATATAGACTGGGTGAAACCAGGCTCAATAGCACTAACTGTGAGAGGGATCTTGGAGTCTTAGTGGACAACCAGTTAAATATGAGCCAGCAGTGTGCAGCGGTAGCCAAAAAAGCTAATGCAGTCCTAAGTTGTATTAACAGAGGGATACAATCAAGATCAAGGGAGGTATTAATACCACTCTATAAAGCCTTAGTAATATCACCACCTGCAGTACTCTGCATCCAGTTCTGTTCAACACATTACAAAAAGATGTTGAGACTCTAGAAAAAGTACAGAGAAGAGCAACCAGGATGATTAGGGGACTGGAGACTAAAACATACAAAGAACGGTTGCAGGAACTGGGTTTGGCTAATCTAGTAAAGAGAAGGACCAGGGGAGACATGATAGAGGTCTTCTAATATTTGAGGGGCTGCACAGAGAGGAAGGGGTCAAGCTATTCTCCAAGGCACCCGAAGGCCAGATAAGGAATAATGGATGGAAACTGAACAAGGAGAGATTTAACCTGGAAATAAGGAGAAACTTTCTGACAGTGAGAACAATCAACCAATGGAACACCTTGCCCTCAGAAGTTGTGGGAGCGCCATCACTTGAGACTTTCAAGAAGAGATTGGACTGCCATCTGTCAGAAATGGTGTAGGATCTCCCGCTTGGGCGGGGGGTTGGACTAGATGACCTACATGGTCCCTTCCAACTATGATTATCTGTTAACTGTTAACAAGGTGTAAACATTGCACAAATGGGTCAAATCAGTGACTAGGCCAAGTGTGCTGTGTGCTTGTTAGGAAGAGTCTGTGCAAAAAGGAAAACCAAGCTGCTGCTTGGTGCCAGCTCCCACAGCCTCTGCCCAGAAGCAAGCTGGCCCTACAGATCCTGGGAGTCGGGAACATCTTGCTGTGCTTGGCTTGGTAGCCTCCCATATTATCACAGCTGCTGCACTTCAGGTGTGGTGTGGGGTAGGTGCCAAAGGCCGCAGGGCAGTGACACATGGGAAGGTCTCTGTGGTGCAGAGCAAGCGGGCGTGCCTCCTCACACGCCTCCATGAGCAGACCAGGGAGGCTCACAAAGAGAAACGTCAGAAGCCCCAGTGGACCACCTGTCTGCCTCCTTGGAGTTTGTTTCTGACCCACTAGCCTCTGCTGGAAGTTGGTTCCAGGTGTCCGCTACTCATACTTCAGAACTTCCCCGTGGTTCTTGATTTTTGCTTAATAGTGTAAGTAATGTCTTCTAGACCCTTATTCACATCTCCAATATCTCTGAAGGCTTCAATCGCATCCCCTTCCCTTTCCCTTCTGTCCTCCAGGCTGCACATGCATCCGCTCCTCCAGAACAGTCAAGCCTTGTGGCCCCACCACCTGTGACGGGTCTCTGTTCAGACAGTGGCCCATTAACCACCACCACACCCCCTGAACCAACTTCCAAATCTGCTGAACCACTTGGAGATTAAGCCCTGCCTTGCCCTGCCAGGACTGGTATGATCCTCCTGCCTGTGTTTGTTAGTGGCATCGACTTCTGAGAAAACTGAGCACAAGTATTTGTATTTAGAAGGTTTGGTATAGCCAGGGAATCCTTCTCAAGCTCTAAGTTTGTTAAATTCAGCTTTCTTAAAGCGTAACTTTGATTTTGTTCTATTGCTTGTATCTGTATTACGTTGAATTCCAATATGACATAATCATTCTCCCCCAGATTTCCCCCAATTTCAACCCCTTCTATTATTTTATCTCTGTTAGTAAGAATTCAGCCCAGTACAGCTGACCCTCCAGTTCCCTTCTCTACCTTTTGGGACACAAAGTGGTTTGCTGGGTTTGTCAGGAGGCTGTTTGATCTCCCAGTAGGTGCAGTTAGTCTCCCGGTTGAGGTCAGGATAGCTGAAGTGCTCCAGTGTGCTTCCTGAACACCTTAGTTAACTGACTATCCAAACGTATTTCCTCTATTTGGTTGGGAGGCGGTTTACACTTTTTTTCCTCATTAACTCAAATGCATTCAAGGTTTTCATTGTTGGGAGGTTGTTGTTATTTGCATTTCAGTGGAGGTATAGCTATCTTTATATACAATGCAATACCACAAAGCACAGGAAAGCGTTTCTCTTCTTTTTTGTGTGTGTGGTACATTAAAGCAGTCCCTCTCCCAACCACCCCGCCCACCCCCAAACTATTTTTTGACTTGCAGAAACCAGGTTGGCCCAATCGACTTCAACACCAGGAGAAGACTTGATTTTTCCTCTTTCTTGGGTCAAGAGGCTTCTACAGCCTCACACCGTTTCCTGTCTCAGAGATGTTTTTCTATTT